AGTCTTAAAGGAGCATAATAAAGAAAAATTTTAAACTAACTACACTTCATATTCTTGAACGTTTTCAAAGTTTCATTACTTTGAGTAATATTTCTCTTAAGAATCGATAACGACTTCCGGGTTGGTTACTTTCGCATGCATAACGGCAAAAACGAGAATCTCGTCTGTGTAACTTGTCAGCGCGCATTAGCGTCACAAACAGTTGCGGGGGTTCAGTCAGCGTTGGTCGCGTATCTGTCACCGATTGTACAATTGAATGTAATCGAAACCGGTCCAAACATGTTTGCACTCCACTCTCTAATCAATAATTGACAATGCACAAACTCTTTGTTGTTTTTGTGCGAAAAATTATTTATGTGCAACAAAAATCTACACACGATATTAATCTTGGGGTATAACCGTTTCCCCCCTAAGGGTAGAGGTTGTTAACTACTTGTGCTGGTCAAGGTTTCGCTGCATGTAAAGATATAAACGGTCCCTTTACAAACTCTACGTATACAAGTTGTTATTGAAGCATGTGTTTACAATAAAAATTGTTACGCATTGAATTTCAACTGAAAGGGCAGTTAAATAACATTTTAAAATTCAACGTAGATCTGTCGAAATTACGTATACGCGGTGGTAATTTAAAGTTGTTTTACTTTTTGTTTGATGAACAAAAGGTTTGAATAACTCTGCATAGTTCCGGGACAAAACAGATGCCCGCTGCTGTTGATTTCTGTAATGAAATGGGCCCCCGGAACGCATTGCAACGGAATTTTCTGATTACGCCGTTCCGTATTGTCATACAGCCGTTTCCATTAAAGCCTTTCAGATAATTATTTGCGCTCCGGGTTGGTAACGACCGCGATTTCCGTTTTAGAACGAGACTCTTGTTTTCTTTTCTGTTGGAAACAACAACGACATCATATTCGACGATATTCAGTTCAAGTATCCCATAGGAAAATGTTTATACAACCTTTTTTTACTTTTATAACTTGAAATTGCATCGAGTAAGTTTATATGATCGAGTGCTTCTCTCATCTAGTATGTTATTCAATCCAATTTTGTGATCATCAAATTTTATACGATCACTACTTCAATATCGTTTGTTATCAAAAAATATGGAGTATTTATTTTAGGATGAATAAATTTTTAATCCTAAAATTTTTTTATTGATTGTGGTGTGAAATAAAGTTTGTGTTCGGTTTGCGATCGTCACGTCGTCCTTCCACTCTCGTTTAAGTTTTGGACAACCGTGACAGCCATCCATGGTCCATTTTGCCGGCAAACTCCACCGGTATTTACAGTATACACAGAGCGAAACACCCGGGTTCAGGCCGTGTTGCCCGAGGAACACAAAATCAATACCGAAACCGTGAATGGTTTAGAATCTCGCCGAAGTTATAAGCCGTATAACACTTCTACCGATCCCGGCGTGGCCCATATACACCCGGAGCAAATATTTACTGGAACAGCTATATAAAATAGTCATCACTCATCTATTTTACAGTAACCACATTCATGACACAAATAACATCAAATTTCTTAATAAATATGTTCAAACAGTCAATTGGATGTTTAAGAAAAGGGGTAATCGAGTTCGCAAACAATTGTTCTGCATATTTTATGAACGCCAACGGCCGAAGTTTGCCATAAATAGTTGAGCGCACAAAAAAGGCACATTGTGTATTCCAAGTGTTCTGTGCATTCCTGATTAATTTCCAGGGGATCTTTATATCCTCGAACTTCATTAGCAACTTAGTGAAGAGTTTCGAATATTCACAGCATTCATTAGTTGCTGGCTCGGCCGCCGTGACGTAACTACCTAAATGAATTCGCAGGCTGCTTTTGTTGCACACCGAATATGTAACGTTATAGAGAAAATGTTATACTATGAATAGAACCCAGAAGTTTTACAATAGTTTTCAAAACAAAAAGTCTTTGAATACCTCTTTACGGTACAACATTTTCAACTTATATAAATGTACCAGAAAGATTGAAATTTAGATGCAACTCATGTTATGTCATGATATTGTGCATTTGATGAACAATACTGGAATAGTGTGTATATGTCACAAGTAAAGCGTGCATTTCAGTTAATGTACACATTAGCCAGTCAATGTATACAGAGAGTTTCTGTGACTCGGGGGGTCACATATACTAGAGTGAAAATGATTCATGTAAAACAAAATTAGTAAAAGTCCTCAATTTGCAAAGATACAGGCCATCAAAGTTAGAAAATTTTAACACATTGCTATAGAGGGAACAATGCTATACAGGCTATTCCTAAAGTTTGTTTGCTCAGAACTTTTTTATTCTATCATAACTCTACATTTATTTTTGCAGTTTCGAATAGTAAATTTAGTTTAAAAACTTTTATCACTCTTAGAGAATATTGATAAAAACCACCGTTTTCGTATTAAATGCAAAAATGTTAGGCTCCGAATTCAATAACACTAAAAAAATAAATAAATAAATAATNAAGCGTGCATTTCAGTTAATGTACACATTAGCCAGTCAATGTATACAGAGTGTTTCTGTGACTCGGGGGGTCACATATACTAGAGTGAAAATGATTCATGTAAAACAAAATTAGTAAAAGTCCTCAATTTGCAAAGATACAGGCCATCAAAGTTAGAAAATTTTAACACATTGCTATAGAGGGAACAATGCTATACAGGCTATTCCTAAAGTTTGTTTGCTCAGAACTTTTTTATTCTATCATAACTCTACATTTATTTTTGCAGTTTCGAATAGTAAATTTAGTTTAAAAACTTTTATCACTCTTAGAGAATATTGATAAAAACCACCGTTTTCGTATTAAATGCAAAAATGTTAGGCTCCGAATTCAATAACACTAAAAAAATAAATAAATAAATAATCTGAATTGGCAATGACAAGTGAAAATCGAACTGAGCTGTCATAACTATTATGTATGCAACATGTCCAACTGTAAATTGAGCTAAATCACATTTTTAATTTGTTTTAGTTTAATAAAAGAATCCAAAAACAATGAATTAAAAATCAACATAAAATAAACAAAGACTACACTAACAGAAATAATAGAAAAAGTACATAAAATAGCAAGACAAGTAATAAAATATACTAAAGGAAATGTTGAAAAACTTAGATTTCTTTTTGTTAGTGTTATTATTGAAATCGGAACCCAACATTTTTGCATTTAACACGAAAACGGTGGTTTTTATCAATATTATCTAATAGTAATAAAAGTTTTTAAACCAAATTTACTATTAGAAACTGCAAATGTAGGGTTATGATAGAATAAAAAAGTTCTGAGCAAACAAACTTTAGGAACAGTCTGTATAGCATTGTTCCCTCGGACCGATTCAACTCATAAATTGCCTAACCATTTTACATGGCATTAATTACTGTACCAAATTTCAGCGCTTTACTGTAAATAGTGTTTAAGATATTTGGAAAAATGTGTTAAAATTTTCTAACTTTGATGACCTGTATCTTTGAAATTTGAAGACTTTTACTAATTTTTTTTACATGAATCGTCATCTTTTCACTCTAGTATATGTGGTTAAATTTGTTCTAATTAGATGAGGGAGTTTGATCCATGTTGACCAGTTATTTTTTATACAGGTGTCACACAAAAAACGCCCCAAGCTGTAACTCTGTCATTTACATTCCGATTTTCATGAACGGGTTATCAAATGAAATGGTTTCATGAATACTATGATTCATGCTACAAATAAATTTTTTCCAAGGCCGTCTTCAATTTTAAGCGATTATTAACTTTTGCTTTTCAAATTGCTCTATATATTTTTCTTTACGTCATTGGATAGAGATTGTTTTTCTGAATCCACTGATGTACAATACATCCATTTTGAATATAATTTTAGCAGAGAAAAGACACCTGTATATACAGGTTGCCACACAAGAACGCCGCTGGCTGTAACTCTGCCATTAACCTTCCAATTTTCATGACTCAGATATCAAATGAAATGGTTTGATGAATACTATGATTCATGCTACAAATAAACTAAGTTAATAATCGCTTAAAATTGAAGATGGCCTTGAAAAAAATTTTTTTGTAGCATGAACCATAGTATTCATCAAACCATTTCATTTGATGCCTCGGTCATGAAAATCGGAATATAAATGACAGAGTTACAGCTTGGGGCGTTTTTTGTGTGACACCCTGTATAATATAAATTCAATAAAAAGCAATACTTTTTCTGGTCTTTTTCAATTTATTGTCGGCTTACGCCATCATCAGAGACATTAGAAATATAGATTAGATTTTAGCAACTTATTTTCCATTTAGTTGTTCAATTCATTTAATTTCAGTTGTTCATTAGTGCCCATCAATCCAAGTTTTATAGTATTGTTTTATATTTTAAATGTAAATTTTAACTTTTAACGGGAATTTTAATGTGTTCATATTTATAATTTTATCTTGTATACCTTTGTGAAGCCGTTTACATGAACAACTAAATGGAAAATAAGTTGCTAAAATCTAATCTATATTTCTAATGTCTCTGATGATGGCGTAAGCCGAAACCGGTTAGACAACAAATTGAAAAATACCAAAAAAAAATTGCTTTTATTGAATTTATATTATATTAAATTTGTTCCCCGAGTCACCGAAACACCCTGTATATTAACGTAACGTTTTAGTGAAAGTATTTATCAGTCATAGAGTGTATACATTTACTAGTGAATGTGTACATAAACTAGACAGTGTATGTATTTGCTAACAGATGTTAGTAAAAGTTATAACAAAAACAATTTATGGTATAATTTTTTTAATGGGAGGGATTGCATGTGATGCAAGTAGTAAGTAAGTAAGTATAGTAGTAACCATTTTTTTGGTTGGGTTGGGTTGGATTTCGTTATGTAATATACTAGTATTAGTATATTAAGTACTTAGTAATTGTATACATCAACTAGTAAAAGTTTACATTTCGTATTTTATATACACATTAACTAGGTAAATGAGTTAATGTATGCATGTAACATATATAAATAAAGATAATAGTGAAATTTACCTTGCAGTCTTCACATCGATGTTTGATGGAATAGGTCTGCGTGCAGTCGTAGCGGGTGAGTATTTCGGCGAATTCGCAGGAGACGCGGGCGGCGAGCGCGTCGACCTCGAGGAGGGCTTCGAGCCGTTGTCGGCACGTGGCAGCATCTTCGAGGTGCGGGTCAACTAGCGCCGAGTCGACCGCGTGCTCGCAGCAGTGGCGCATCCGCAGGCCCTGCAGCTCGCGCTGCCTGCGCTGGGGGTTCATCTCGCCGCACAACCTCTCTTTGTGCGATTCTTGCAAGTAATGAAGGCACTGAGTAGTACTGTTGGCGGGGCAGGGCGGCGGACACTTCGACCCGGGGCCCGCGGACGCCGTCGTACACGCCCCCTGCAGGTCCGTCGCGCTCGCGGGCTGCAGGTCGCACGCCGACAACCACGGGTTAATTTGTTCCAACGGCGACGGCGATTGCTCGTCGACGATTTCCGTCTTCACCTGACTACTGCTGCTGATGCTGCTGCTTCTACTAATTCTGCCGTTTCTGCTTTTACTTCTGTTGATGTTATTGTAGTTAGTGGCTGCTCCGACCCGAAGGTACGGACCAATTTCGAATTGTTTCTGCTGTTGTTGCTCTTGTTGCTTTTGGTAGTAGTAGTAACGGTGACTGTTGTGATGGTGGTAATAACTCTTTGGTTGGTGGTTGTCGACGGCGGCTGTGGCTGTGGTGGTCTCGGCGTTGGCTGTGCTGTTGTTCCGGTTGTTGTTGTTGTTGTTATTGGCGGTGGTGTTGGCGATAGACGCCAGGGCGGCCATCAGGAGGAAGAAGAAAGGCGGCGACAGGCCCGACGGGGCCCGGGGCATTCTGTGGGGCAGGGCGCGGTGGCGGCTCGGTAGTCGGCAGCTACGGGAGCCGGGAGCATCGTCGCGGGCTGGCGGAGTGCCCCCCCACGCGGCTCCTTATGCCGCCCCCTTCGGCCGACCACAACGAAGATGACGGCGACGCCGCTCGGACCGCGGCCGGCGGCGACCGCCTCACGCTAATAATAATATTAAGGACGACGACGACGACGACGGCGACGACGGCGGCGGCGTTTGCGGCTGCTGTGGCTGCGGCGTGCGGCGACGATCGCGAGGATAACGGGGGCCCGCTAAGCCGCCCGACGGTGACGACGGTTGCGCGAGGCGCGGGCCCCACACGGCCCCCCACGCTCATGATGATGATGCAGCATCGTCATCGGCATTCGGACCGCCGTCACACATCACATCACTGCTGCACGGCACTATACTAGGTCACTATTATATACTACTACCAAACTACGGCGGCGGGTCGGTCTAGCTGTGGCCCGAGGTCGGCCGCCATCTTGATGGTGATGGTGGTGAAGGTGGTGGTGTGTTGATGGTGGTCACAGTCCTCCCCGCCCGGGCGCGCGAGCTTTGCCGGCGGCTGGCCTCCTCTACTCGCTCGCCTCGGCGACACTGGCGACACTGGACCCGGTGGCGGCGAGCGCAAGCGCCGACTCGATCGATAGCCGCCCCCCGGGGCCACCGCCAGAGACACCTACACCACTACGCCCGCTCCATCTGCCTTTCGTCTCCTTCCAACTCACCCTAAACGTAATCCACGATGAACCCCATCTTTTTCTATTTCACCCTCAACCGCCACACGGCGCGTGTCCGTGATTTCGCCCCCGCCAACACGCATCTTCCACCCGGAGGAACGGATTTCCCGCCGCTCTGCTTCTAACGCCACCTCCACCAAATTAGACAACATAGCTTTTACCCTAAGATATCCACCCCATCATTAGATGGCATATCATATCACTTCCGATAAAAACAAAATCTTTTTCAAATAAAATCATCATTAAATCACCAGAAACCAAACAATTATTCACAATAAACTAAACTCACCAACACTTTCTCACATTCTCATAAATTGATAAAATTTACAAAGTGTCCGCCATCTCTTGATGAAAGCTGCTTTCTAAAAGGACTTATTTTATTGGAAAGGTTACACTTTCTAAACATTAAAAATTTAATGTACGAAATCAATTTATAATAATTTATTGACTGTTTAACTCTGTTCAATTATATTTTATGCTTTCTGGAAAACTTTATGATCCATCACACAACTTCTCATTGCACATTAATTTAGGATACATCGACATTGTTAAGAGTTACTGAAGGTTCTAATTTTTAAAAACAAAAAGAAAAATTTCTGGAAAAACACCATGGATGTCGCAATGCTGAACATGGTTGATATTTCAACCAAACAAAGATGAAGATAGATAGACGAAGAAGATATTTTCTTTTCCTTCATCTTTCTCAGCCTGTATATTTATATACAGGCTGGTTATATTTGTGTCCATTTTTCTTTTGCCACATGCCCGACTCATTGCCATTTAAGCCCCGCTACTCGACACATAACATCTGTCACTTGTGTTCTTCTCCGAGTGTCTTTATTTCAAATCTTGTGTCTTAGAATGACTCTCAGAATTGCTCGTTTCATCGCTTTTTGGGTTACACTAAGTTGTTTTGCAGTTTTTCTTGTCAAGGCAATGGTTTCATGTCTATATGTTGTCACTGGTAGTATACAGCGCAGCTATCATACATCTCTCGATATTTCTTTGCTTTTCAGCATAGAACCAACAGTATAGTTTAATCCATCGCTTTATTTTGGCTGTTTGATTTTCTTTGCTAATTTTAATAGCATGACCAAATACGGGTGTTTCATTAATAATGGGAAATATGTTAACTACAGATACTACGTGTCAAATAATGACCATTGACCAAAAAGGTTTTCGGGATTAAGATCTTCAAAAAAATCGTGTTTTCCATCTTTAAGCTAATCTACTCGTACGATGAAAATAAAATTTGGCATGGCGATTTAGTATTATTACATGCTTCTTATGGTGGAATTTTCCGAAATCAGCAAAATTACAGCAAGGAGAAAAAATATCCCCTTGTGTTAACACCAATAAAACTTTTTTGTTTTTCGATTTACAAGCACGAAATTAGCATCACCTAATAGGCCAGTTAAAATGTTAAAAATAAGATCCTCTTGTAGAAACTTCGGGTTATATTTGATTTTCGAGAAAAACGAGAAAAAGTTTCGATCTACTAGGATGTTGTCAGTTTATGCATTTGTTGATTTTCATTGTTTGTTTCGCATGGTTAACAAATTTAACACGTTGATTAAGTGAAAATGCCACGTCATAACAATTTTTCTAATCTTAAAATGCGAGATATCCTTTGTGTTTATGCACAAGAAAATTATTCCTGCCATGCTGCTGCTCGAAGATATCAAGACATGTATCCAAACAGAGTTCAACCTAATCGCAAAACTTTCAGTAACATTTTTAGTCGATTAGGGGAGACTGGACAGTTTAAGCCCAAAAATGATGTGGGACGACCTAGAAATTTGACTGTTGATCAGGAGGACGACGTTTTAGTGCTAATCGCTGATACTCCTGAACTAAGCACTCGGCGTTTATCAGCAATGACTGGAGTAAGGCTTTACCACTTTACATCCGTACAAAACTTATTGCCCAGAGATTATCCTTCACGATTAAATTTTGCTCAGTCGATATTAAATAGAAAAAATTAAAATGGCAATTTTATTAAAAACCTTCTTTTTACCGACGAGGCCACTTTTACACGTGGAGGAGTCTTCAACTGGAGAAATAGCTACAATTGGGATATTGAAAATCCCCATTTATTCCGAGAATCATATTTTTAACAGGAATTTAAGATAAATGTATGGTGCGGTATTTTTGGAGACAGTCTGTTGGATCCTTATGAATTGCCAGAAAATATAAATGGTAACTCATATTTGGAGTTTCTGCAAACTTCACTTTTCGACGAGCTAGAAGAAGTTCCACTTAACCAAAGGAGGGATATGTGGTTCATGCACATATTTCAAGATGAAGCACCCCCTCATTATCTTCTGATGGTACGAAACTATCTAAATCAGGTGTAGTGAAGTTCCGTGGCCGCCTAGAACTCCTGATTGTAATCCGTTAGACTTTCATTTCTGGGGCCATATGAAATCACTGGTGTACTCACAAGAAATAAATAATCGTCAGGAACTATGGCAGCTAATAGTCAATTCTACTCATTTTGTTGCCAACCAGCCAAATATATTTTTTAAAGTTAGAAGATCCTTTAGCGAAAGAATTACTAAACTTATTGAGGTTAATGGCGATCACATTGAACATTTATGCCACAACTTATGGCATAACCCATGAAGCGTTGGTTATTCGTCGATAAATGTCATCTATTTTTGGCTTCAAGTCCAGATGGAAAGACGAAAGACAATTCCATTATTGAAATAAAATGTCCATTCGTTGCAAAAAACCGGTCACCTAAGGAAGCAATTACAGAAAAAAATAATGTTTGCTTACTTCAATGACAACAAGATTTATTTAAAAGTATTAAAAAATCAGCCGTATTATTACCAAATACAAGATCAAATGCACGTAACAGACCCAATTTTTTATTATTTTGTAATCTATTCTGAAAAAGATGTTGAAATCATAGAAATACACCACGATGAAACATTTTGCACAAAAATTATTGAAAAATTTGCATTTTTTTATGACCATTGTCTGTTTCCAGAAGAGGTTCGCTGAAAAAATCTGTAATGCTTGTTGCTTGAGTAAGTTACTTAAGTTTGCTAAAAAGACTTACGCATTTTAGATTAAAATTTGGACCAATTCATAATAATTATGAATCATTATTATTTATCATTATTAGAAACAGTTTTTGATTGAATTAACAAATTTTCTACAAACGTATTTTTTCTTAAAAACTATTGCTTTGATCAAAGTTTTGTAAGAGACCAATTGATAGATAATTGATTACTTTACACGAAAATACTGCCCGTTTGGGGCTTTTTATTGCAGATAATGTTTAATTTTAAAGAAACTTTGATTCGCTATTTCTCGTTAAGGAGGCATTTGAGAGCCCATCTTAATATACAGACTTTTCATCTTAATTTTTGTTGTATTTACTTACTTGCTCTAGAAGTCTGTCGGCGGTTTTTTGAATCACCTGTATATATCTCATTAATCTTCTGTCATAGAAAAAAATGCAAGGGAGATGAAGAATGAAGCCAAATAAAGAAGCTAGGGTGTATAACTGTTTATGCATTAACATAAGTTCTTAAGGTTAAAACGAAACACTTATTTAAAAAAAAATTTAATAAATTAAACCAGCATTAACCTATTTTACAGCCGATTGTGGCTCACTCTATCAGCTACAAGCAAAAACTAACTTATCAACATTAAAGATTCCTGATTTACCAAAAATTTTAGGCAGATCACAAAAAACCTCATTACACGTTGTAAGGTTAGAGATTAAACCGGTAATCATTTTATCCCATTTTACAGTAGCATATTATTTCCACTTAGTACAATTACTAAAAAAACAATTATTTCTTTCTAAACACATCTTTCAACACTAATTTATTCTAAAGGTATGTTACACCATCATAAGGTTATTTTTCACCATATGCTAATACATAATCGAATTTATAGGGATAATGGCTCTCTCAGTAGACGAAAAATACAATCTAATATCAAGAAATCTACAAGAAGTTCTTGGGGAAGATAAAATTAAGTCAATATTAAAAGAACGCGATTTAAAAGTTTATTGGGGCACTGCAACCACTGGAAAACCTCATGTTGCTTATTTTGTCCCAATGTCTAAAATTGCAGATTTTTTAAGAAGTGGAACTGAAGTCACTATCCTTTTTGCTGACCTCCATGCTTATTTAGATAACATGAAAGCTCCTTGGGAACTGTTAGAACTTAGGGTACAATATTATGAACACTCAATTAAAGCTATGCTAAAATCTATTGGTGTACCTTTAGATAAGTTAAAATTTGTAAAAGGAACTAATTATCAATTATCTAAAGAATATACTTTAGATGTTTACAGATTAAGTTCAGTTATTACTGAACATGATGCTAAAAAGGCTGGTGCTGAAGTTGTTAAGCAAGTTGAACATCCATTATTGAGTGGTCTTTTATATCCAGGTATAAAATATATTAATAGATTTATTAAAAATATTTAGTATTATTATACATGTAGGTTTGCAGGCTTTGGATGAAGAATATCTTAAAGTTGATGCACAATTTGGGGGAATTGACCAAAGAAAAATTTTTACATTCGCTGAAAAATATTTACCTCAATTGGGATATCAAAAAAGAGCTCATTTAATGAATCCAATGGGTAATTATTACTTTATCTAATTATACAAAAAATTTATTTATATAGTTATTTAAATAGTTCCTGGATTAACTGGAGCAAAAATGTCATCATCAGAAGATGAAAGTAAAATAGACCTTTTAGATACACCTGCTGCAGTTAAAAAGAAGCTTAAAAAAGCTTTTTGTGAACCTGGAAATATTGAAAACAACGGCATTTTATCTTTTACAAAACATGTAATTTTCCCCTTGTTTGGATCCAGTGAAAAATTCCTTATTAAAAGAGATGAAGCGAATGGTGGTGATATCCAACATGAAAATTATGAATCTCTTGAGAAAGCATTTGCTGAAGGAAACATTCATCCTGGTGATTTAAAAGCTGCAGTTGAAACTTACATAAATAGATTATTGGAACCAATTAGAAAAGAATTTGAGAAACCTGAATTAAAAAAATTAATTGAAAAAGCTTATCCAGTTCCTGGGAAACAAAGTAAATTATTATATTAAAAGGAGACAAAATGTTTTAATTATTTTATTTTAGAAGTTGTTGCAAATTCATCAGATGATATTATTCCATCTCGGCTTGATATTCGTGTTGGTAAAATAGTTGAAGTTTCAAGACATCCAGATGCTGATGCTTTGTATATAGAGAAAATTGATTTAGGAGAGGAGCATCCTAGAACCATTGTAAGTGGGTTGGTTAATTTTGTACCAATTGAAAAAATGGAAAATAGAATGGTTGTGGTTCTTTGTAATTTAAAACCAGCAAAAATGAGGGGTGTGGAATCAAAAGGAATGGTTTTGTGTGCTTCAAGGTAAAATAAATTTGTTATAAACTCTAGGATGGTTAAATTGCATTTCTTGGTCTTGAAAGAAGTTTTTTTGAATTTCTTATAAATTACTGATAAATTAATATTATTAAGTGTAGTATTAAGATAAGAAATATGTTATAGAAGAAATTGTTTTAGATGATGTTGATAATCTGTCTATTAGTATCAAAAAATTAGAAGTGTAAATTAATTAATGAAAAAGCATTTTAAAATTTAAGAGTTCTATGTATGTATAGAAGAAGAGTAAAGAATTTGTAATAGAACATAGTAAATTCAAGACGAATCAAAGAGAAAACACTTTTTCAGTTTAATATTGTTATTGTTTATCAACAATTAATAATCTATTCTGAAACAAAGAGTAAAATAAAGCTCGCACATGCTTTTGGGAAGATAAAGAATTCATTTTTCAATCAATGTTTCAATTTAAAAAAAAAAAACAGTATTGAATTATGTTACAAAGGTACTTTTTAATAGTAGTGGTACTATTGGTCAATATTGGTGAATTTAATCAATTTTTGAAAGAATATTTAAATAATTTGTGAGACCAGGTAGCAATAAAACAAAATATCTTTTGTTTTTGACCTATGTGGAAGTACTTCTTGCATACATGATATTTCACTGTAGATTGTTAGGGGCTGTTCCAAGTAGGTGGAACATGATTAGAGAGATTCTTGTACATACATTCCATGTATAAAGATTTAACCCTATCACCATTTAACTGGATACAAAGTATTCAAAATTGGATTATCTAAAATAAAATAATAAATTATCTTTACGTGTTGGAGCTTCCATTGACCTTATTGCTCTTTAGAAAAAAATATCAATATCTCCATTAAAATGATAACGTTCTGCGCCTTCCATGACAAATCTCAAAATAAGCAGTAAATACTAATTTTTCATACTAATGAAACCAAAAGAATTGTAAAGGTTATTAAGAAATGAAAGAGAGAACGTTCGATTTTGAAGCAAAAGAATCGACAACATTAGTATAAGGCATTGTTGGATTAAATCGTCGTATTGCGGTGTTCACATCTATAGTTCTGAGGTTTCCTATCCTTTCTTTCTCTTTCCTTAAGTCGCCATTATGTGGAAATACAGTGAGGCTCGCTAATCCAAATTCCTTTATAACCCGAATAAAATTGAAATATTGCCCTTTAACAATGGATATCTTGTAATCCCTTAGGGATTCGGTAATCCGAATGGCAACTATACAATTGGTCGTGTATCATTGGTTTGTTCTTACCGAAGCTGAACTGTTTAACCTATGTATTATGGCATAAAACGCTAACGTTTAGCGAAATGTAGGAAATTTTGAAACAATTAAACAATAGTGTAAGTGAAAAATCGTTGGCCACAAAGTATGGCGTTTATGCGGCAACAATTTCGAACATTAAAACACATTCTGGCAGTCAAAGACGATATTTCAAACGTCCTTAAAAATATTAATTTGATGCATGCAGTCTTTCTTCTCTCGCGTTCTTCGGAGAACGTATCAACTGATACAATAAATAAATGCTAGAAAAAGTATTTTCTTATTCTAATAATAATGCTTCCGCAGCAACAAAAAAGCAAAAACAAAAATTTCAATAAAATCGTTCAATAAATTCTAGGTGTTGCAATTTTTATGGAAGTCAGTATATTAAGTAAATTACAAGTGTAAGTTGAAAATGCTGTGGGGTCAATGAAATGATAGATTTTTGATACAGTATAATATCAATATTGGTGTGTTTATTTTTCTGTAGAACCTTCTCTGTAAGTGAATTAATTATTCTGCAGAAATTTCAGTAAGTCCTATGATAGTCCCAAAGGATTTTCTGTCAAAACGTCTGGCAGAACAATATTATTTATCACTATCAATATTCTGACCTTTTTACAGAATCTTCGGTAGCAGTGTAAGTATTTTTTTCTTTTTGCAGAAACTTTTTGACAGTATTTTCCAAAAATGTCTTTGTCAATGTACTTGTTTCTCTAAAGAAATTTTTATGTCAGTGTTATGTTGTTCTGCTCCTTCATCAAACACTTTTGCCAATGTTTCCTATCAGTGTCAGTGAGCCAATTTTTGTCTTTGTGCTAAAACTTCTGTACTCCTGCTTTTTTTTTAACAGAAATTTCAAAGTTTTTTTATTAGTACCAACTACTCTTCTCTTTTTGCAAATATTTCTGCCTGCATATTTTGTTAGTTTCTAGTTTTTTCTTCTATTAATGTTAATATTTTTAACATTTTGCGGAAACTTCATGACTTTTGTGTGATGGTGCACCATCTCACACTTGAAAACATGTCTCAGATACTTTGCAAAATACTCAGGTGAATAGTACTTTCGCATACAGTTTATTTACCAGACTTGACTCTTTCTCAAATAGCGAAATCGGTATTCAACACTTGCAAGCAGCAAAAGCAGTACATGCTCTGATTAATAGCTGTAAGAGAATACTAATACACTTGATGATGTAATAAGAGGTATCCATGATCTGGGTTTTTATGATACTAGTTTGCAATGAAACGGCAGATGCCTTAGCATGAATAAATACCGCTAAAACATTGTAGGACCAAAATTACTAGATTGTATATAATTTGCATATTTGACTCAATGACAGTGGACATAATTTGACTCAATGCAATAAAAAAGGTTCTTAGTGTTAATGACAGAGGGTTTAATATGTTATGTCTATGAAGTCTAGACTATAACCTATATAATCTCTCGTATTCAACTCACCTCACCTTCTCGTACACCTATTTAACAAACGAAGCTCTGCGTAAGTTTGAAGCGGATGTTGGCAGTAGTCTAGCTACTCCGTTGATAGTGATTGACTATAGAACAAAATCATAGCTATCCGATCCTGTACTTTATAAGTAAGCAATATGTTGCAGAAACATATATGTAGAAGGTTTTTGTATGACGTCTTGATGATCATATGGTTCAAATACAATAAGAGATAAAAGCGTAAAGTACATCGGCGCTCAGGTGTGCCACATGTCCTTAACTACGAGAGGTGATCTACTTTTTGAATGTGCATGCAAGGATATCATGGATTCATGGAGGCGATCAATAATTCAATTCTTACAAAAATGTTAAAAATGCTTTTATGGATAGTGTACTTTTACAAAGACACATTTTCTTTAGTACTGTATTTACTTGTTGTCAGAATAATGTACAGTCTTTTGGCAAAAATTTCTCTGCCAGTGGATTATTTTTTTTTTGCAGACATTTCGGTCAGTTCTTTGTTAATCCCAAGTGGTGTTCCTTTTCTGTCAGTATTATTTATCAATGTCAGTACTCTTAGATTTAACAATATCTTCTGCATCAATGTTGGCGTTTCTCTCTTTCTGCAGAACAAACTTCTATATGAGAGCTAGTATACTTTTATTAATAATATGTTTTTGACATTTTGCAGAAACTTTTGCCTTATTTCAGTAAATGCACTTATTTTTCTACTGAAATTTGTATCATAGATCTTTGTTAACGCCTTCTGCCATTGTTCTTTATCAGTAATCTAACCTTTTTATACACTTTTGCAAACTTCTACCACAATATTGGCGTTTTTGACTCTCAGCAGAAGCTTAATAAGTTTTATTATAACACTTTCTTTTAATATATTTCGTATATGCGAGAAAATAAAAAATGTGACTAATTAAAGATGTTTTTTTTTTTAGGGATGAACCCAAAGAAGTAGAACCTTTAATTCCACCAGAAAATGCAATTGTGGGAGAACGTATTTTTGTTGAAAATTACGAAGATGGAACTCCTGATGATGTTCTTAACCCTAAAAAGAAAATTTGGGAGAAACTGCAAGTTGATTTGAAGACTAATTCGGATTGTGTAGCGCATTGGCAAGGTAATAAATTGATTATTAAATCTGGAGATTTGATAAAGAGTGAAACTATGGCTGGAGCGCCTATTAAATAAAAAAATTTCATTAATTTTAATGCTTACACGCTTCAAGATCAACAATACAACATAAAAACACAACAATATGAAATAATTTATTTAATTTCATTTTTTGATATGTATCTAAACATTTAATAAAAGTTATAAAAAATTTAACTAATCTAATTTTACTAAAATTTGTATCTAAATAACATCAAAAATCTTAAAATTTCTTACAACTAGTAAATAAAAACAATTTAGGTACTTAATTATTAAATTTATTAATGTGTTTACCACGCTGAAAAGCTAATGTTTGTGCTGGAATCCCTAGTTGGTCGCGTATTTTCCTCTAAATGATCTATTGAATCCAAAAAGTGTTCAATTTTTTCCATTAAATTCGTCGCAACATTTGCAAAATCCTCCCATAATAAATAATCTTGAGATACAAATCCATCTTTTTCAGAATCAGAACCAAACAATTTTTCTTCATCTAAAAAAATTAATTAATTAATTTTACTTAATCAATGAAAATCAAATTTATTTTTCACCAAGATAATCAACCAAAATTGTTGTTAATTGTTCCATTTCTGCATCAGTAATCAATTCATACAAATTTGATGCATCTATACAATAATTCCAAATAACTTGGCATGTTAATGTCGCTAACGACCAATCATACTGTCCATGTGTATTCAATAACGCGATTAATTTAAAGATACCGTTAGAATTCTTTAATTGAATTCGATTTCTGTTATCTGCCATTAAATTAACACAAACACCGACGGTTGTACGTAAAAGTGTTATATCATCTAGAGAGAAAAAGGACGTTTATTTTCTTATTGTTATTATTATTTGTTTGTTATTACCTGCTTCAAGAATGTTTAATAAAGTTTCAAGAACATGTTTTTGAGCTATATAACTCCTTGTTATATTACACCGAGATAAATTTCCTAATATTCTCATTGCTTCAATTACATTATCTTTTTTTGGTGTTGTGATATATTCAAGAATTGCTAAAATAATTTATGTTAATAGAGTTAAGTTGGCAATTCTGAAATTTGATAATATCAAGGATGGTGTCTAAGAGGACTGCTACATCTTGGAAATAAGTGTGCAACTCGAAGGTCCGTTCGTGACGTAATAACAATTAAAACTATTGTATTAAAACTAAAATATATCACATAATATCTAGCGCTAACTGCCAAGGACTGTCACTAACAGTAACAATAGACCTAGAACTAGAAACATTCGGGTTTAGCCGGTCGTCTCTTAAGACAGCTAAATCCGAATGATTCTAGTTCTGGGTCTAGTGTTAGTTCTAATTTTAGTTCAATTAAAATATATCACATGATATCTAGCGCTAACTGCTTAGCACTGTCACTAACACTAACATTAGACCTAGAACTAGAAACATTCGGGTTTAGCCGTTCGTCTCTTAAGACGGCTAAACCCGAATGATTCTAGTTCTAGGTCTAGTGTTAGTTCTAGTTTTAGTTCGAGCACCAAAACTAACACTAGACTTACAACTAGAAACATTCTGATTTAGCCGTACGTCTCTTAAGACGGCTAAACTCGAATGTTTCTAGTTCTAGGTCTAATGATAGTTTTAGTGCTGGAACTAACACTAGATTTGAAGGTGATCTAGTTCTAGGTCTAATGATAGTTTTAGTTCAATAAGAATATATCACATAATATCTAGGGCTAACTAGCGCTGCCTAGCACTGTCACTGACACTAGCAATAGAACTAGAAACATTCGTCTCTTAAGACGGCTAAACCCGAATGATTCTAGTTCTAGGTTTAGTGTTAGTTCTAGAACTGTCTTTAGAAAGTTTTGTCAACAACAGCTGACTGAACATGACACGTGGTATGACGTATTGGTCCGATAGTGACGTCATTTTCTGCATTACAAAAGATAAACAATGTAGCAGTCTTTTTATATTCTACCGTATTTGGGATAATATAAACAAAATTGAGATTATATTTAAAAAAATTAAGTAAAACTTTTTTTACCTTCAACAATATCGACCTGTTTAATATGAAAAACATCATTATCCATTTCTGATGAGTAATAAAACGAAAGATTATTTAACGTACTTAAAACTGATAAAACAAGTTCATCATTCTTTTTAAATGGATTACTTATTAGAACTTTAAGGAACTCGTCAATCAATTCTGTTCCGTATTCTTTATTCATTTTAATTCCAATGTCCGAGTTAATAGCAATATTTGCAATGATTCTTATTATTTTGATCATAACGTCTTCGGTGTTGCCACAATCATTCTCTTCGCTTTCTAGTCTCAAAGAGCAATGTTTTAATGTTCTTTCTAAATAAACTTTCCAAAGATTGATTAAAGAGTTTATGCTGTTTTCTTCTTTGTAAAATTTAATTCTTGCTTCGTCGATTCTCGACACGATATTTCCCATAATGTAAGTTAATCTTACGATTATCTCTTCGTTTCCAGAGTATTTTTGGAATAATCTAATAAAAACTTTGTAAATTTCTGGATATTCGGAAATATGATCGGAGCAATTATCATTTGTTGATAAAGTACTTAAAGTACGAGAAATGTTACTAACTATATCTAGATCTAACGAAAATTGGTTTATTGTTAAACAAAGTTGGGAAATTGCTTGACTTTCTATGAACAAGTCGAACATTGTTTCATCCCCAGCTAAATTCCTTAACGCACCCGTTAATTGGAACAAAGCGTGATTAGTTTGTTCTGGAATTATAGATTTTTCATGTTTCTAGAAAAAAAAATTCCAGGAAAAAGAAAGGTTACTGCAAGAATAATTACATAGTTATTAATTAATTGGAGATGAAGAACCATTAACGGTAATATCCCAAAATTGATAGTTCTTTGTAACAAATTTGGATTCATTGTAAGAAATTTAATCGCGCCATATCCATAAACGCAAGCTTCCGCGTCTTCTAATGGACTACATCTTCCAATTGAATCAACAAAAAGCTCTAAAATGTTCTTTTGGAAAAATAATGAGTCGTTTTTATCACTTTTTGCAACTTTAAAAATTAATTTGCAAACACCACTTAAATTATTACCCGTTACTTTTAACTAAAACAATAAAATATATTAATTGTACATAAAACATACAGGTGTATCTGAATTGCTTAACCAAACTTCACCAATATGGAACAAAACTGTAAAAAAACTTCTTATAAACGTGTTCTAGACACATGATTACTTAAAAGATTACGCAAGAATTCTAAAATTGGCGAAATATCCTTTTTCGGCAGAAATACAGACTTGGCATCGTCGAACCATTGATTGTGGAACTCGCTCAAGTTTCTTCTGAAGCATGAATTGGTGTAGACTACACAAGTTGTTTTACGTTACTTGGTATAGCAGTGCAATTTGGAGAACGAAACTGGCCCACCTCTGCCAATGCAACGATTCAGAAAAGTATTATTTAAGTACTCCCTAGCAATAAGGCTGAAATGTGGTGGAGCACCGGCATGCATGAACCACATGTCACGACGTGTTTCCAACAGAAGATCATCAAGAAAGGTCTGGTAAAAACATTGGCCTTATTAAATAATAGCCAACAATGCCAGTCCAGATTCTACATGAAAAAGTTTGTTGATGTCTTGATGTTCATTATGAAAAATCATAATTGCATGTAAATTTTGCTTCATCGGCAGAAAACTACAACGGATTAGAAGTTCTGAATAATACATTGTTGTAGAAAGCAGTTACAAAATAACATTCGTGGTCGAAAATCAGCTTCAGAAATTCGTGGACAAAAATTTTGCACTCGCTGTACGTGGTATTGGTAAACTAGCTGTTCATGCACAACTCCCCATACTGTATTATGCGAAGCACCTACTCTAAAGAAAATGTCCTTGTACTGGTTTTAAAATTCTCCGTAATTCTATAAAGTACGCCTTGGCCAAACGCCGGTGTTCTGGTGCTTCTTGGAACCCCATAATCTGAAGTATTCCGTTTGAAGGGTTTCAAGGTTAGTTCAGGGTTTCTTAACCTGAGGTTCATGGATACCGAAGTGATCCGTATATCAGGTCCATGAAAACGGCAAAATACTGCGCGAGATCAAAAAAAATCGTAGCTTGCTACTTCAGAGCACTCACTAGTCACTGTTGATTGGAAGGTTCGCAAACATCGCCCAGTCGAACGTACTCGTATAGTACCTTGCAAAGTGCTTGCTAATAGCAGTACGAAGCCAGCAAAATGATAATAACACCTTACATCGGTTCACCCAGAAAACGCAGAAAATACCGTGGATGATTTTGGTTTCAAAAAAGCTCGGTTTAAGAAATCTGGCACTTTACCCAAACTGAGGTTCAATCAAACACAAATACCGTATTTAAAAGTATCATACAAAGTTGTATATCGCGTTGCTCAACAAAAGAACACTATTGCAGAAACTCTTGTGAAGCCATGTGTACTAGACATCGTATTACTAATATTTGGTAATTATAGAGAAAGAAACTTGAGAAAGCTGGTACCTTACCCAAACTGGGTTTCACTCAAACACAAAAGCCGTGTTTGGAAGCATGGTACAAAGTTACATGTCAAAAGAACACTATTGCAGGAACTTTTGTGAAGCCATGTGTACTAGACATCGTAGAACTATGTGGTAATGATCAGAGAAAGAAAGTTGAAGCAGTTTCTTTGTCAAATGATATTATTCTTTCTAGAATTGTTGAAATGTTTGCTAATGTTTTGAAGCAAGTCATTGAGGAACTAAATTCTTCGCCATTTCCATTCAGCACTCAACTGGCCGAGAGCACAGATGTATCACAATGTAGCCAGCTCTTGGTATTCGTATGATATGTATGTCTTAAAGCCCAACTTATTAACGAAGAATTTCTTTTTTACAAATCACTACAACAAAAGCAGCGGACGTCTTAACTCTTGATTTGGTAAAAGGGTTTTTTGAAAAGCACGACATAGATTGAAAAAATAAACTTGGAAGTTTATGAACAGATGGAGCACCTGTCATACTTGGAAGTACTCATTCTGGTTTTACAACATTAGTAAAGAAAGAGATTTTTAATATCATAACTCATTGCTTCTTACACTGGCATGCAAGTGCATCCCGAAGTTTACCAACATTTTCGAAGCAAGTTATGTCCACGTGTATCAAAATAACAAACTTTATAAGAGCCACAGCTTTAAACCAAGGCCTTTACTCTTTTCACTACTATACAGAAGTACGCCTTCAAGAGGACATGTTTTGAACCTCTTATTCGAGTTATGCGTGAAAATCTTGTTTTTTTTAAACAAAAAGAAAACGCGCTATATAAATTTCTGGGGAATGACAATTTTTTGCAAGAACTAGATTATTTAGCCGATATTTTTGGCTATTTAAACAAAATAAGGTCTATCTCTTCCTGGTCTAGAAGTCACCATCGTCGATGCTACTGAACGACAAAAGCCTTTTTACGTAAGCTGCCACTGTAGAAAAAAGAAGGGATGCAAGTATAACTGCAATTTTTTTATAATTGAAGAAATGTTCTCACAAAATAGTGCAGACCAAACTACCAGAACATTATCAGCTTAAATTCAAAATAATATTTCAGGACTCTTTTAACGCGTATTTTTGCCCAGAAAACTTTAATCAGGAGACAATGATACGAAGTCAGTTTATAATTGATATCAACGACATAAATGACGAAGATCATCTCAAAGTGGACTTGGTTGATTTAAGAACGAAAGCAGTATTGCCACCGGAACTTAACGCTAAAGACATTTGCAATTTTTGGTTAAGTATAAGACGAGCTTACTCTGTACTAGTAAGACGAGCTATGTCGTTGTTAGTACCGTTTGCTAATACATATCTTTGTGATTCAAGAGTCCCAACATTAGTTGCAATAAAAATTAAAAATCGGAACCGACTAGACGTGAGACATGATGTGTGTCTTGCGTTGTCTAAGACAATCCAACAATTTATGGTACTTATCGAAAAGCAGCAGCAGGAACCGTCCCATTAATTTTATCTTTTATTGTGGCAATAAATACAAGTGAATTTTTAAAATGTCTTGTTTTCTCTGCCTATACTTAAATTTGTCAGGGGTCCATCAGATTGTTTAAATATTGCCAGTGGTCCATGATAATGGAAAGGTTAAGAAGCACTGCTTTAGTTTGACATCTTCAATTTGGAAATTTTTCGGTATTAAGCCGTCGAAACAAATTAGTGCTACCATTTGCTTCAAGTATGTGCGAGCCAGTTACAGAATAACATTCGTGGTCAAAAATCGGCTTCAGCAAGTAAGATCCTGCACTCCCTGTACTGTGATATGGGTAAATTAGCTGTACATGCATAACTCTCCATACTGTACTATGCGAAGCACCTACTTCTAAAGCTAATTTAGAATCTGATTAAAAACCCTCGGATAAATGTTTGAAATAATAAGTCAATTATTAGCTTCTATTAATTTTGAAGTTTGGCCAAGTAATTCAGATACATCCTGTAAATGAATTAAATAAACTAACTGCCAAAATAATTCTTGCTAAAGCAAGAAGTAATTCTTCATTATAAGATTCAACGAATTTATAAAGACACTTCAAGATATGTATTTTAGTTTTTGAATTAACTTTCCCATTAATCATATTTTCATTTTCCATACATTTGTATAATTCATCAAGTAAATCAATAATTAAAATTTCGTTATCATTTTTTGAAGTTTCCACGTTCAATAAATTTAAAACATCATCCACTGTGTTGATCTTATTCTTATTTTCTACGGTTTTATCGAAAGAATAATAATTTGTTGAAGCAACATTTTTACCCTGATCCTGTTTAAAATAACCTGATTCTATGAACAACGTTTCGGAATCGTAGACGATCTGTTTGTTTCCAAAGATTTTATTCAAATTTTGAGGTCCAAGTAATAAACATTCGGAGAGAGTTTGTTTTTTTGATGGCCTACCGAATGGTGATTCATTTCGGAGTTGATTGAAATCGGTTTTTTCTTGTGGTGAACTAAACGCATTGCGTTTTGGAAAAGTTTCAATTTCAGGAACTAAAAAAATAAATTAAATCTAATTTTTTTTAAGATAAAAATTCGTTACCATTAAAAGTTTTCTTTTTATTTTTTGCGTCTAAAGATGGTAATCTTATTTTTGGAACGTCTTTAACTGGGACATTAAAGATTTTATTTTCACTCATTTCACATATTGAATTTGCACGTTTTTTCGAATAAGCCCCTTTTGTTATATCGTTGGTGTTGTTGACCAATTTTTTTATTGGGAGATCATCGGAATCTTCTGGGGTTGTTGTTGGGATTGAAAACTCATTTTCTGATTGAAGATATCTCAAACTAAAATTTTTTAAAATCAAATTTAATTTTTTTAAATTAGATTTAAAGAAACCTAAAGGAACTTGGTGGTCTATTTGATTTACTTTTCTTCCCAAATAGCAATCTTTCTTTTTCTCTTGGAGTAAATGGTCGTTGTGTTTGTAAAGGCTTCACTAAAGTTTGTGAAAAATTATCATCAACACCTAAAAATGTTTAAATATAATAAATTTTATAATTACAAAATAATTTTTTACCTCTAATTGCCATTTTGGCTTCATTTATAATTTCAGCGCTAGTTTTTCTTGGTGGTGGTTCATAAAAGGGGACTCCAACTTTATTAATAGCACCCATCTTCATCCCTTTATTGGTGGTTTCCATTCTGAAGAATTTACTTCACCTGAAAGCTTTTTCAACTTGAAGGGTTTGATTGTGGTGTAAATAATTTCTTCGCCAAATTCAAAGAAATGTTGTTCTGGTCATTTCATGTGGACGGCACGAAACTACATACACAACAGGAAAATTATTGATCGTTTTTTCTGGGAAGTTGTACATGCGAGGAATAAAATCAATATGGTAAAAGGACAGGGTAAAAGCCTGGTAAACAGTAACAATAGCTGACAGAAGGAAGTGGGTTAAGTTTTGTTTTAATTGACACCTCAAAAAGTTATTTGACAAGAATTAATAACTTACCTCTCCTTGTTGGCAAATACAACAAAAAATTGATATTGATTTTGAATTGTAGAAACACATTAAAAAAATAAATCATGTATTGGAAAACCAGCGATAATAATAAAAAGAGTTTTATTGAGGTGTAAATTTTATGTGCTTTTGATAAAAAAATTTACTACTGATTTTAAACTATTGAGTGACTTTTCATTACGAATTGAAATCGGACAACAAAATAAAAATAATGTTATTTTTTTGCTTCATTAAATGAATTTAATCTAATTATTTCAAAATTTAAATTTGATCCTACCATCTATAAGGTTATTAATGAACTAATTCTTGAATGAAAGGAGATTCTATCGTTTTTGAGAGTTAAAAATTCAATAATGCGGAAGAAGACTGAAACAAGTCTAGTGATGATTCATCTAGTTGATTTTGGAGTATTGAATCAGAAACATTATTATTTTGCCAAAAAAAAACAGATTCATTTGAAATAGCAGAAATGAATCTGAAAGTATTTCTATTTACAAAAAAAATTGGAAGATTGTATTTGTACTAGAAAGATCAATACTGATCTTGGGTCATGGGGATAAGCTAGTTAAACATAACATGGATAATACGAATTTTAAAACTTAATCGGCGAAAATTGCAAAATTCGAATAAATTGTCGATCATTTCAAAAATTTATTTTTCAAAAACTAAAAGCGATTTTTCAAAACGGCTTATTGCATTAAAAAGAGGATACTTTAATTAATAATTGGTGATATTTCCACAAGGATCCTTCAAGAAATAAATTTTATAGCGAATTTTGAAAGTTATCGATGAAAATTGCAACATCGAA